GACATTTTCTCTCATAATTACACATATTATATTTCACAGTTATGACTATTTAACTGTGTTTATTATCTGTGTTTTTTGTTCTGTCACTGTCATTCTGTTACACTGTGGAAGCTTCTGTCACGAAAACAAATTCCTCATATGTGTAAACATACCTGGCAATAAAGCTCATTCTGATTCTGATTCTGATTTCTCACAATGTGACTTTATTTCTTATTTTAACCTATATCTTGATCTTTTTTCTATTTTGTACTTCAAGATACAAATCTATTGCTAGTTTGAACAGTGACAGGCAGATATATTTACCAGAATATGAGGTATTATAATAGAGCTTGGCTTTATTACTTTCTAATTTAAGTTGAAAATAGCTGTTATGCTTCTGTATCAGTCCTGAGAGGTTTTGAAGAAACAAAACCTTCATTGTAAAAAAAAACATGAGTCAAAAGTCACTAATCACAAGCATAGAAATTTATGACTGTGAACTGTTTTGGTGCCCAGGGAATAGTCTTGTCTCCTGTTGGATTCCATTTTTAACATCCATTGTGAACTTTAACAAGACAAGTGTGTCAAGGTCTTGAATTTGTTCTCAAGTCAAAATCACATGCATGTTTCTGTCTCTTGTTGCCCAGAGGCTGACTACAGACTTATAGTCTTCAGTTTTATCTCCAAAGGACTTCTAATTTTATCCAATAAGTTTTATTCACTATATTATATGATATTTATACACTGTATTATATTATATTATATTATATGATATTATATTATATTATATTATATTATATTATATTATATTATATTTGTCAAAACATAGTGAAGATATTTAAGGAAATAATTGAACATGATAGAAAAAATAATAATTTGATTTATGTTGGGACATAATTTGGGCATGAGTCAATTATTTATTTGAAATTAGATTTAAAACATCTCATTTTTGTATGTACACACATGTGTGGAAATTTATGGGAGTGGGATAAATAAGATTCCCCTTTCTGGCCTTGTCCAGAATCTCATGGAGTACATAGCTCAAATTTACAAGCACAGACAACAGAGGATATACTGATCTGGGTAATGTCTTTGAGGACGTCATGTACCAGGGCGACAGGATTCCCCCCACCTCCATATTTAGATGTAATAGAGACCTGAATTTTTCAGGTGAGGCTTGTGTAATTCAGTATGTTTGGCCTTTTCGAGGTGCTGGGTCATTAACATTTCTATGAGTTAACAACATAGATACTTCTGGTCTCTTTCCAGAATGTGCTAAAACCCCATAGCCTATGTAATAGAGCAGAAATATTGCGCTAAGTTGTTCTATCATCACGTTTACGTTTAGTTTTATGAAATGGGTTGCCCTTGACTGACCAGCATGGACTGTTCCAGTGTTCCCACCTTCCAGGAATGAAGACAGCATGATGAATATCTGTCCAGGAGTTGTAAATCATATTAGCTTATTAACTTAGCACCATCTGCTGAGCAACATGTTGCACGGTGTCTTCAGGCCATCATACCATTCCTGCAAAAAAAAAAAAAGAGATCATAACATTTACATTACTTCCCTTGCTGTTAGTTCTTATGTGAGAGCTGCTGAATGTGTGAATATGAACATACTTCTGGGAGTGATCCTGCATCAGATGATAATGTCTATAAATACGATTTCTTAAATAGATGTGTGACCGATGAGTGAGACTGATTGAGTGAGAAGGCTCAGATGATTTCTTTAGGAAAGCAAGCTGGCGGTTGTTGATTCACGTTACACTTGGTATTTCAGTTACAGGCCAGCTGGGGCCAGAGATCACACTTAGGAACATACCGCTGTTCTATTTTGTTGAAATGATACTGTAAAATGTTGCTCTCTAATATGCAGAGTGGGAGTCAATGGAATCTCTCTGACTGCTTTGAATTATATTAAATTTGTCTTCACTGCCGCCTATCTAAGAACTTCCACAATGTCCCCTAGCATATCTTTCTTATCTGCCCGACTCAGACACACTGTTCATTTGATACTACAGAGTCTGCTTAGCTGCAACAGCAGCACCAAGGACAAACAGATCATCTAAAGTAGGCAATATTTCATCAGGAAGTCAAATGTGACAAGTTGACAAAATGTGCTTTGGTGCATTCTAACTGATTGTCTCATCTTAGATAACTAGCTATGCTGTGTCAACAACCCTCCTGGTAGATGTGCTAAACAACATTAACCTTTAACATTTAGTTTTATTCACTGGAATGAAGCACTGGCCACCAGACAGTAAACTCGATTTTGTCACTTTCCAGCACTGGAAATACCCTTGTGAAAAAGAATTACACTTTAGCATACTTTTAAAAAGAGTACTTATCGCAGAATATACTTTGAAAGAATATACTTAAGTGAGAACCGAATGAAATGTTTACTTGCACTTAACTGCATGTTATTTAAAATTCTATTAAAATGTTATAATTAAATTTATATTAAATGTAATTTTGCGGTTAAATGCAAAGATTTAATTTAACAAAATTACAAAGTGCACTTTTTAAAGGTGTACTTAAGTGTGTTAAGAAACCTACAGTTGTCATGAAATTGTACACTTAAGTGGTAATTTGATGTAAACAGGTGCACTTTTCCACAAAAAGTGGAATTTTTTTAGATCTAACCATGTAACTTCTCCTAGTAAATCATCACTGTATGATTAAAAAAAAAAGTACTATATTATATTATATATTATACGATATAAGTACTATAAGTATCATATTTTGATAGGCTGATAGCCTTACTCTGCACTTTATGCATTCATTGTTTGAACTGTGAACATTTAGCAAATGTGTGCACTCTCTTGGACAGATTTTTGAATAATGGTTTTGTCAACCCTTCTTTAAAAATATAATTCTTAAATAGATGACCCAATATTCAAACGTCTGTCCAGGAGAGAGCACACATGCTGGGGACCATGTGGTTGTGGCTGTGAAACTATGGCAGCTGTGTGGTACTTTACACTAGACAAATGTCTTTCACCTCTTGCTCATGTTTCAAGGACATGCTGTCACAGTGTTTGAAAAACATCCTGCTGGCATGTTATTAATTATATGTAATGAAGTGAGCACATGTCTGATGGAAAGCCTTCAGGAAGTTGTCCTCTCTTGCTCTGTTGAGACTAGCTGCACTTTCATTAAGCTTTAAAGAATTTGTTTATGCATATGTTCTACACCAGAGAACTATTTCACAGTTTATATTGTAAGCTTACTTGGGAGCAAATGTTGAGCCTCAATGAGAATTAATGGCCTCAGTGAAAGGAAAAACTTATCAACAAATGCTTTTTTCTATTGTCGTTTGAATAATGAGCAGACCGTAGAGTTAAAAAAAATCTAGTTAAAAAACAAAACAAAACATATGTGCCAAATTCTTTGAAATGTAGTGTTTGTGCTGGTTTAATATGGTTTCGAAAACCTTTCATACCATTTTCAGTAAAATATTCAATTTAGCGACTACATTTTGTGAAAATATGTTGTTATAAAAATAAAGAAAGAAAGATACAAAAGTAAAATATAATTCCAGTTTTCAAGCTATAAAATGAATATATTTATCACAAAATATCATAAATTATTAATAAATACATTAAGATTATTTATAAGATATCATTATGTTTTTGGGAGCTGCACTACATGACATATTACACCCTAAGATAATCTTGCCTTGTCATAAAAAGGTCAAATTACCTGATATTTTAAGAGACTTTATTACTGACCTTGACACAAAGTGTCTGGTTTTATGATTTATTTTTTCTTCTGTATGTTGGTCACACCATAGCACTTTAAATGCCAGACAAAAGTTTTTCAAATCTTAATAAGCAATCATAATAGATAATACAAAATTAATAATAAATGATTATGGAAATTAATTTAATGTGGCTTTCTTTTCAATAATTTCTTTTCTTTTTTATATTATTATTTATTATGATATCATAGTTATTTAACTCTAGCATTATATATGAACTACATTTTCAATGCATTTTTGAATAAATTAATAGATCCAGAAAACAAATATGCTGAATGAATATTGCTGAATGTACAAGTTTGAATGATTCAGATACTCTTGTTTTTCTATTCCCCCCCCCCCCCCCCCCCCCCCCGCCCCGCCGCGGGGGGGGGGGGGGGGGGGGGGGGGGGGGGGGGGGGGGGGGGGGGGGG